AGGGTAATTTTTCTTTCATATGTTTCAATGAGATATGTCTCTAGATTAAACTGTTTTTTAAAATGTAAAATATTGGTACCAAATTACCCTAGAGCAGTGTTTTTAGAGCGGTAAGACTGTGCTATTTTTTGGGTCTGTAGGCTGTTAAGATGCAAAGATGGCCTTTAGTAGAATGATGTGCTCTTCCAGTCAGATGTGGGAGATCAGGGAGAATTTCCATGTTACTGACGATCATGTTTGCAGGAAGTGTGTTTGGTTGTGAATCCTATCAGATCGGTTGGAGCAATGGTTAGAGGTAATGAGGAATTTACAGGAGGGGGGGTGTGATGGATGGCAGTTTCAGGAAGGTAGAAAAACCGCAGATACAGTCGGATAGATGGGTTACCTCTCGGAAAGGTAGGAGGGGTAGGTAGGTCGTGCGGGCAAGTCTCCTGTGGCTAACCCCATCTCAAATACATCTGCTGTTTTGGAAAATATAGGCGCTGTTGGATTCTCAAGGGAATGTAGCACTGACAGCCAAGTAGAGACTGGCGCTACAAGGGATATGCAAGGTTCCTAGAGATTGATTGTGTTGGGGATTCTGTAGTCAGAGGCACAGACATTTCTGCGGCTGGCAACAAGATATCAGAATGTTGTGTTACCTGGGTGCTGGGGTCAAGGGTATCTTGGAGAGTGTGCAGAAAATTCTCAAGGGGAGAGGGACCAGCAGGAGGTCATTGTACACATTGGAATCAACAAAATAGGAAGAGAAAAGGACAAGGTTCTGAGGAGAGAATATAGGAACTTAGGCAGGAGGTTAAAAAATAGGTCCTAGAGGGTAGTGATATTTGGATTAGTCCTGGTGCCACATGCTAGTGAGATTTGGAATAGGAGGATAGACCAGATGAATGTGTGGCTGAGGAGCTGGTGCAGCGGGGGAAGGATTTTTGGATCATTAGAATCTCTTCTGGGGTAGAAGTGACCTGTATAAGAACAACATGTTGCACCTGAATTGAAAGGAGACTACTGTACTGGCAGGGAGATTTGCTAGAGCCACCCGGGAGGATTTCAACTAGCTGGGAAGAGGAGGGGATGGGATCCAGAGAGATAGTGAGAAAAAGGATCAGTCTAAGGCTGGTGCAGTTGGGAAAAGGTTAAATAGTCAAGACAGGCAGGAGCAAAGTACAGAACGAGGTAGGACTGATCAATTAAACTGCATTTATTTCAATGCAAGAGGCCTAACAGGTAAGGCAGATGAACTCAGGACATAGTTTGGAACATGGGACTGGGATATCTTAGCAATTATAGAGACATGGCTCAGGGATGGACAGGACTGGCAGCTTAATGTTCCAGGGTCCAGGTGGCATAGGAAGGATAGAAGAGAGGAGGGAGGTGGCATTTTTGATTAGGGATAACATTGCGGCTGTGTTTAGGGAGGATATTCCAGGGAGTACATTCAGTGACGTTTTTGAGTGTAACTGACAAATAAGAAAGGGATGATCGTGTTATTGAGATTGTACTATAAACCCCTCAATGGTCAGCAGGAAATTGAGAGGCAAATTTGTTAGGAAATTTCAGTTAAATTAAATTTCATTAAAGGGTTTGTACAAATACATTAAGGATAAAAGAGAGACTAGGGAGAGAATAGGGCCCCTTAAAGATCAGCAAGGCCACCTATGTGTGGAACCGCAGGAGATGGGAGAATACTAAACGCGTATTGTCCCTCAGTGTCTACTGTGGAGAAGGATATGGAAGCTACAGGACGTGGGGAAATAAATAATGATACCTTGAACAGTATCGTCACCTCACCCATAGCTTCAGGCCACATTCAGCGGTAGGCTATAATACTAAGCGCTTGTAATTACAAGTTGGAATACCGTCCAGGAGGCTGAGTAGCAAATGCAGAGACATTGATCTGCCTCCCATTAGCACATGCACTACTGGTGGTACCCCCAATGGAAGAGTCTGATGATATTACATTTTCTGGACACACTTCCAGTCCCAGCTGATAAAATCAGACTCTTTGGATGAAGAAAGATCCAGTCCTTTCAAAATTGAAACAAAAGATGATCAGAGGATTAGATAGGGTGGACAGTGGGAGCCTTTTTCCTTGGATGGTGATGGCTAGCATGAGGGGACATAGCTTTAAATTGAGGGGTGATAGATATAGGACAGATGTTAGAGGTAGGTTCTTTACTCAGAGAGTAGTAAGGGCGTGGAATGCCCTGCCTGCAAAAGTAGTAGACTCGCCAACTTTAAGGGCATTTAAATGGTCATTGGATAAACATATGGATGATAATGGAATAGTGTACTTAGATGGGCTTCAGATTGGTTTCACAGGTCGGCGCAACATCGAGGGCTGAAGGGCCTGTACTGCGCTGTAATGTTCTATGTTCTATGAACAGTATCTTATAGAGGAGGAAGTTGCTCAACGTTTTAAAATGCATAAAGGTGGATAAATCCCCAGGACCTGATGAAGTGTACCCTAGAACTCTGTGGTAAGCGAGGGAAGTGATTGCTGAGCCCCCTGCTGGGATATTTGTATTATTGGTAGCCACAGGTGAAATGCCAGAAGACTGGAGGTTGGCTAGTGTGGTGCCACTATTTAAGAAAGGTGGTAAGGGAAAGCCAGGGAACTACAGACCAGTGAGTCTGACATCAGTGATGGGCAAGTTCTTGGAGGGAGTTCTGAGGGACAGGATTTACGTGTATTTGAAAAGGCAAAGGGTTAGTCAACATGGCTTTGTGTGTGGAAGATCGTGTCTCATTAACTTGATTGAGTTTTTTGAAGAAGTGATGAAGGGGATTGATGAAGACAGAATGGTGAACATTGTTTATTTGGATTTCAGTAAGGCATCCAACAAGGTTCCACATGGTAGACTGGTTAACAAGGTTAGATCATATGGAATATAGGGAGAACTAGCCATTTAGACACAAAATTGGCTTAAAGGTAGGAGACAGAGGTAGTGGTGGAGAACTGCTTTTCAGTCCACTGCTTTTTGTCATTTATATCAATGATTTGGATGTGAATATAGGAGTCTTCTTAGTAAATTTGCAGATGACACCTAAATTGGTGGTTTAGTAGATAGCGAAGAAGGTTCCTCAAAATGGGACATGATCAGGTGGGCTGATGGGCCAAGTAGCAGATAAATTTTAATTTAGATAAATGTGGAGTGCTGCATTTTGGAAGGTGAAATCAGGTCAGGACTTATACACTTAATGGTAAGGTCCTGAGAAGTATTGCCAAAGGGACCTTGGAGTGCAGGTTCATAGTTCCTTGAAAGTGAAGTCGCAGATAGATGGGATAGTGAAGAAGGCATTTGGTACCCTTGCCTTTGTTGGTCAGTGCGTTGAGTGTAGGAGTTGGGAGGTCATGTTACGGCTGTACAGGACATTGATTAGGCCACTTTTGAAATACTGCGTGCAATTCTGGTCACCCTGCTATACGAAAGATGTTGTTAAATTTGAAAGGGGTCAAAAAAGATTTACAAGGATGTAGCTACGGTTGCAGGGTTTCAGCTATAGGGAGAGGCTGAATAAGCTGGGGCTATTTTCTCTGGAGTGTTGGAAGCTGAAAGGTGACCTTATAGAGATTTACAAAATCATGAGGTGCGTGGATAGGGTGAATAGTCAAGGTCTTTTTCCAAGGGTGGGGGAGTCCAAAACTAGAGGGCATAGGTTTAAGGCGAGAGGGAAAAGATATAAAAGGGACCTGAGGGGCAACATTTTCATGCAGAGGGTGGTGTACGTATGGAATGAATTGCCAGAGGAAGTAGTAGAGGCTGGTACAATTATAGCACTTATAAAGGCATCTGGATGGGTATATGAATAGGAAGGATTTAGAGAGAGATGGGCCAAATGCTGGCAAATGGGACGAGATTAATTTCGCATATCTGGTTGGCATGGACGAGTTGGACCAAAGGGTCCATTACATCTTCATGACTCTACGACTCTAACTTAAATTCTTAACATAATAATTGTCATGAATTCGTTTCCTACACGATGTCAACACATGGAGTTCTTCTTGAAAGATGTTTGATTACTTCTATGAGATGCTCGCATATAGTCTCAGTAAAGTTATGAAGCTGTTAATGGTTTTGTTGGGAGCCAGAATATACTCATCACTGATGACTTGTGGGTGCTTGAGCCAAGAGGACCCATAAAGCAGAATGCTGTATGTAGGCCACTGCCCAGTCAATGTGGCTCGGCTGACTTGCTAACACTTTGATGGCTATCGATCAGGAGGGTGATAAAGGGCCACATGCTGTAATCCTGAAAAAGGGTAATATCCACCGTTCCAATGGAGCCACTACTACTACAGTGGAACTGGGCCTGTCTATTTTCGCTCCACTATCGTGAACACTCTTTCATAGCTCTTGTCTATTCCGTCCCCCAAATGGTCTAACCACCTCTTTATCCACCCCAAGCCTCAGAGTCTCCCTCTGAACTTGCAGTTTTCTCATGAACATTTAGCAACTGCCCTTATAATGATGGGCCTGGAGTCTCCAAGAATTGAAGATCAATTCAAAGTCACAGCAGTAACTCTGGAGAACAAATATAGAAATGCTAAGAAAGATTGTTCTTTTGTAATTTTATTTGAGCATTTCTCTTTACCAGACATATATACATTGCTTTGGGGGAGAAAGACTGGCTGATATGCACCCAATTGAGTGAAGAGCCTTTTTTGTCAATTGACATAGGAAGGCAGTGTGCCACAATGTCAATGTGCTGGTCAACTAATAGCTAGAGTGTGGGGGCAAACCACATGATGGTAGCTGTTCAACCCTGGGCCCATTCAAGGTCTGCACTGGGCCCACTCAAAGTTCAGCCCTGGTCCCGCTCCATGTCCGGCGCCGGGCCCGCTCGAGGTTCAGCTCCGGGCCCACTCCAGGTTCGGCCCCGGGCCCATTTTGAATCTAAGACTTAGTCAAAGTCTCTCTGCTGCTGTTTACAAAATGTAAAAAATTTTGTTTGTAAGTATTGGGTTTCAGTTCATTGTACCTCCTGACACCATTTGCATCTTTTTGATAACGATCTGCAAATTTAATTCATATCAATGATACATCGTAGTTGCTCTCCTGGCACAGGAAGAATTAACCAACGACCTTGCAAATTTTGGGTTACATCATAGAACCTGAAAGCATTTTCCATTTATAGTTCTCTTGATTGGTTATGTGAATATTCATTTAAAGAAATGAAACTGTTTTATTTTAGGACAGTGCTGAAGTGGCTCTAAAAATATTAATAACCCTCATTTTAAAGGGTGGGAATGGAGAAGACCATGACTGACTGATAAATTCACTTATGCCAGGGACACAGAGGCCGTGTCAACCTCCAGGGTCTCACCCGACCAGACAACATCCTGGCTGTTGGATGAGACCAAAATCAAACAACAGGAGGCCATGATGGGAAAATGAATGGAAAAGATCGGGGCCACGATTGGTAGTTGGGCTGTGAACAGAGCAGCAGGTGGACAGGGGCAGAGGGGAGTAAGGGAGCCTTGCCTTGAAGTGATCAGATCCTTGGGGACAGATAATCAGGGTGGCTCAGTGGTTAGCACTGCTGCCTCACAGCGCCAAGGACCCAGGTTCGGATTCTGCCTATGTGGAGTTTGCATATTCTCCCCGCGTCTGTGTGGGTTTCCTCCGGGTGCTCCACTTTCCTCCCACAGTCCAAAGATGTGCAGGCTAGGTGGATTGGCCATGCTAAATTGCCCGTATTGTTCAGGGATGTGTAGAGTAGGGGGATGGGTCTGGGTAGGATGCTCCGAGGGTTGGTGTGGACTTGTTGGGCTGAAGGGCCTGTTTGCACACTGTTGGGATTCTATGAAATTTGCCACATTAAAATCCATAGTGCCTGGTTTCTTGGCACTTTGGATGCCATTTTGCCTCCAGTAGCCTGCTGCCATTTTGATGAGGACATTAGACTGAGTGCCTTTTGTGTGTGCCATCAGAAGTACTTTGTCTCTTGCTGTACAATGAGATGCCGTTTCATGAAGTTGCAGTCCTTCTGATTGAAGACACTAAGGTCTTGTTTATATTATACCCTTTAGCTGTTGTGCAAATGTTAGACCCAGACTTTCAGCTCTGATTCTGTTGAATGCTGTGCCTCAAGTATATACATGATATGATAAAATAATAAAGTTCCACTTGAATTTTTTTGTTTCGTCATAAGGGGAACAATATAGACATTGAATTCTTTGCTTCAGTTTTTAATCAAACAGCCACAAATGAATTTGCTTAAAAAAATAAAGGAAGTGGGAAATACAGGTACAGTTAAAACATTTAAAAGACATGTGAACAGGAACACGAATAGGAAAGGTTTAGAGGGATATGGGCCAAATGCAGGCAAATGAGACTAGTTTCCTTTGTAAAACCTGGTCGGCATGGGTGAGTTGGACTGAAGGGTCTGACTCTGTGCTGTATGAGTCTATGTTAGCAAATGATTGGAGTTATTAAAGCTTATATGTTAATGTTAACAATGTCTTCTACTTGATTAGGGAATAAGAAGCAATGCAGCAGAGGCTTTTGTGGCTGTTTGAATGTAATACAGAAAGTTGATTTCAAAGAAATAGTTTGTTGCATAGTTGATAATTCCAGCAGTTGCCATGATGAATAAGAATGCCATCAAACGTTTTCCGAAAAAGAAACCAGGAAGGCTGTAAAAATAAGTGACATACACAAGAATTAAAGATTTAGAAAATCACTGAATGTTTGTCTATAAACCACAGTTCATGATTAAAACTGCTTAGAGCACCATCTCTATTAAATAACCTTTTGGCAGCAAGTACAGCAACTGATATTGGATCACTGTGTCTGAAAGTACATATGACATATCTGCTCAGTTAAAGAACATCTTTACAAATGCCCACTTTATGCCAGTGAGCCTTGCTGCAGCTAATGCAGAGTGGAAAATAAGAGGAGTGCTCCCACAATTTCCTGAAAGGCTGCCTCCCAAAGAACAAAAACCATTGTCAGAAAATATGCATGTATAAAATCATTGCTATTGAGTTTTACTCATCCTCAGCCACCTCACTCAAACCAAAATCACTTCTTTGGAGCGACAATAATACACATGTCTTATCTCCATCAGATCAAAGAATTAAAAACTACAATAAATTAGACAACACTGCACATTTTCCTCTGAGGATGCCCATATCAAAGCATTGCCAAGATACTGGCCCTGAAATTGTGTGTTGCCATTCTAGTGGGAATTGCATCCCTGTGACTGTGACAAAAATAAAATTTCTCCCCTTGTCTTCTAGACCGCTCTGCAGGTGTAGATATGATTGATCAGATCATCCTTCCCCAATGTCTTCCTCTTGTTGCTCAGCAGGATGGGACTGCTCCATTCATAATGATCTGATCATAGCCAGAGATTCACTTGCAAAGACTTCTTTCTCTTCCTGCTCCTGCTCATTAACTGTGTTGTTCCTCAGTGATCTGTCCTTGGCTCATCTACACATTGGCACCATCATACAAAGACATAGCGTTTGTTTTCACATGGGCACTGGCAATACCCAGTGCTACCTCACTGTCACCTTTCTCTCTCCCGATTCCTCTGCTAATGTGTCAGGCTATTTATCCGCTGACCCTGGAACTGTGGGCAGTCATCATGTAGACTTTATGTGTGCTGTCGTGCACAAGCGCACAATTTTGATCTGGGCTTCAGCAATGGAGAAAGGGTTTGGGGGAGTCCATCAGAATTAGGAAGGAGTGGGGTTGGTTCCCTAGAGTGAAAGGGGATGGGGGAATCCATCACAGTGAGAAAGGTGTTGGGGGTGTTTCCTGAATGAGGAGGGGAGGGGTCCAAGACCCAGGAGGAGGGGGTGGGATGGGGGTCTCAATGAGGGCCTGGGAGGGCTGCGATGTCGTAAAATGGGTCCAAGGCCTGGGGTCCCCCTCCTCTCTGTTTCCCTTCCACAATGTCCTGGCTCTCTGATCTCCCACCTGGATCTCTCCACTCCAAACCCAAATCTTCATCCCTATATCCCAATCTCTCCTCCCCACCTTGTCCTCCCGAAATCTGCCCACACATGATTTAAAGTAGCACACAGTGTGCATGCATTGGTGTCAGCAAACACAGCTTTATCCGATATCCACGACTGGATGAATAAAAAATCCTCCAATTAAATATTGGGAAGACTGAGCCATTGTTTTGCCCCCCACTCTAAACTATTCCCTGTCTCTTGGATCCATTCCTCTCTTTGACAATTGTATGAGATTGTCCAGTCTGTTCACAACCTTGGAGTCATATTTAATTCTGAGATGAACCTCCAATTTCATCTGTGTGTCAGTAGCAGGAGTTTCATTATTTTCATATCTTTAACTTTGCTTGCCTTCTCCAACGTCAGCTCAGTTGCTGCTGAAACATTTATCCATGCCACTGCTATCTCTAGACTCAACTATTCAAATGCACTTCTGGCACATCTTCCACATTTTCTGTAAATGTAACATCATTTAAAACTCTGCTGTCTGTGTCTTAACTCACACTGACTCATGTTCCTTTATCAGCCCCATGCTGACTGAGTTACTTTAGCTCCTGATCAAGCAACACATTGATGTTAAAATTCTCATCCTTGTTTTCAAATCCCTCCATAGCCTCACCCCTTCTCACCTCTGTAACCCCCTCCAATTCCACAACATTCTAGGATATATGCATTCCTTCAGTTCTGGTCTCTCATGATTTCTCAATTATGATTTTTGTGGCTAAACTTCAGACGCTTAAACACCAATCTCTGGAATTCCCTGTCTACAACTCTCCAAATCTCCACTTTACTTTCCTGCTTTAAAACATTTCTTAACAAACTAGCTTCTTGACCAAGCTTTTGGTCCTTTCACCTCTATATATACTTCCTTGTGTGACTCAATGTGTTACTATGTTTATGTGTCCCTGTGAAGCACCCGGGCATGTTTCAATATGTTAAAGGCACCATATAATTATGATTTTTTTGTTGAATGTAACAGAAGACCTGTAACAGATACCCAGGGTCTGGATACATTGGATCCAGTCTTCAGGAGGATCTTGCACTGTTTTGCATGGACAGAACCTCCGATGAGGCTTCATAATCAGGAGCCTGGACTAAAGACTAAAACTCCATAAATGTGCTTGTCCTAATCGTAATACCTCAATCAGTTTCTAGCATATTATTGGCTCAAATCCATCTGAATGCACCAGCCAGACCGATCCGATTCCAGTTCCTGTTACTGTGGAGTTGGATTGGGGATGGGGGCTTGTTGGGGGGAGAAAGATGTTGATGGTCAGGTATTGGTCTTTGGTTCCTAACACTTCATATACTGGAAAAATTTAGTTTCCAATGGCCCTGGTCCTTTCATAGTTTTCAACAATTCCATCATGTTACTCTATATCAGAACTGTTCAAACGAACAAAGCAATAATTTTTCAAGAGATAGTAGGAACTGCAGATGCTGGAGAATCCAAGACAACAAGGTGCAGGGCTGGATGAACACAGCAGGCCAAGCAGCATC